AAAGAAGGCCTCACCTCACACTATGATCTAATCAAGAGTAAGGGCTCGACAAAAGGCATGTTTGAAATAATCAGATTAAATGTTTTGAAATGTCAAAACCATTTCAAGGTATATGCAGTCTATAATCCACCCCAGAATTGTCCCAACTTTGACTTTCTAAACATCTCACACAAAACTGTTGTATTAGGAGACTTCAACGCCCATTCCACCACCAGATGGGGCTAAAAGGATAAAAACATAGCTGGAAAGGAAATTGAAGACATGCTAAACAGCAACCCTCTAAAACGTATTTACAGCAATGAGGATCCGGCTACATATTTGCACTACAATGGAACCAGAACAACTCCTGACTTACTCTTGGCTTCAAGTGACATCAGTGAGCATGCACGCCGCAAAATAATTGGCGATCCTGGTTCTGGTCACAAACCAGTCATTGCTAGTATTAACACCAGCGGCAAAAGCATGACAAGGAAAGTGCCAACTAAGCTATCATGGAACTTCAAGAAGGCTGACTGGTCTAGATTCACAAACCTTTTGGAGAATGAACTTCACAAAAGTCTCCTCAACTTTAACCAACATCCTGACAAACTTTGCACTGATATCACGAATATTATGATCAGATTTTGCCATTTGAAATAAATAAATATGATCAGATGTGCAAAGAAAACTATTCACAGAGGCAAGACTAATCACTATCGAGTGTTTTGGTCTAAACCACTTGAGGAACTGAAAAGAAAGCAGGACGCCCTTCGTAACACTGCTGATCCAACTGGAAGAACGAAAGACGTACAAGCCTGGAGAAGACAATCAGCTGTCCTAAGGCAAGCCATCTTACAAGCTAAACGGACTTCTTTCGATAAGTTCATCTCTAATATCAACTATCAAAGTGATAGCAAACGCACTTTCAAATTTCTGAGAAACCTCCAAAACAACAGAGAAAGACCCAAGAAAGAACCAATACGCTTAAACAGCTAATTTCTTACCACCGACACCGAAATAGCTAACTGCTTTGCGAGGTTCTATTTCCACAAGCAAAAGAAAAACCCTTTTGTCAGAAAATCTTCAAGAGAGTCAAAGATACAAGTAAGACAGTTTGGAAAAATTAAAGAAGACATAGCAACACCAAATAATATACTTACTGAACCATTCAGACCTTGCAAACTTAATGCTGCATGTAATTACTGAACCATTCAGACCTTGCAAACTTAATGCTGCGATAAAACAGCTCAATTGCAAAAAATCACCTTGCGATGTCGGTATGCATCCGGAATTTCTAATTAGAATGGGACCAACAGCCAAGTTAACCATGCTGACGCTTTTCAACAAAATCTGGGAGACCAGTCATGCTGACACTTTTCAACAAAATCTGGGAGACCAGTCTCGACCTAACCAATGGGTTGCCAAAATAATGCTAGTACTGAAAAAGGGCAAAGACCCTAGCAACTTTGACAACTATAGGAAAATGGCAAGGACCCTAGCAACTTTGACAACTATAGCCCTATCTAGACCCTAGCAACTTTGACAACTATAGGCTTGGCTAAACTTATGGAAAGAATGGTTAACAGGAGGCACACCTGGTTCCTTGAGACTAACAATATTCTTAGGTGTGAACACACCTGGTTCCTTGAGACTAACAATATTCTCGGACCTGGTTCCTTGAGACTAACAATATTCTTAGGAGTGAATCACCTGGTTCCTTGAGACCAGCAATATTCTTAGGAGTGAACCTATGAAAAGACTGGTTTACAGGAGGCTGACCTGGTTTCTTGAGACCAACAGTATTCTTAGGAGTGAACAAGCAGGTTTAAGGCCACAAAGATCAACGAACCAACAAGTAGTTACTTTCTACTAACCAACAAGTAGCCACTTTATCCCAACACATCAATGATGCCCTTGATGTAAGAAATACCCTTACTGCTGTTTTCGGCGATTTCAAATCAGCATATGATTCAGTGTGGAAAGAGAAGCTAATTCTAAAATTGGCAAAGATTGGTAATAGGCATAAAATGCTAAACTGGATAAAAGCATTCATTGAACAAAGATCATGTAAAGTCAGATATGGAAATGCTCTGTCAAAATCCAATCTTTTGCAAACCGGCCTTCCACAGGGAGCTGTCACAAGCTGCACTCTTTTCAANTGTACAAGGGTACTACCCTAGAAAAAAATAATGAGTTCACATATCTCGGAATGACGTATAACACAAAGTTAAGGTGGGAAAGTCACATTACTAAAATAGCAGAACGAGTCTCTTATGGACTGAATGTACTGAAGCGTCTTGCTGGTAGCATATGGGACTGTGCACGCTCAACTCTCAACACCACTTACAAGATGCTTATTAAGCCAATAATTTTGTATTGCGGGGTGCGTAATAGACCTACCTCCACGGCAAAAAGGTCTGTTAACTGGCTGTTGACTTCTGACTTCAAAATATCATGACCTGACTCCATGTCATATTCGATCATTTTACGCAGTGCTCACCTCACCTTTTTTCTACATTTGCGTCTGTCTCATTTACATCTTTGAAACGCCCTTTTTTTCCTCCCGCTCTCGAATTTTTTCAATTTAATGTTCCTTCCCCTCTGTGAAGCCTGAAGTCAGATAAAGGCTAATGATAACTATCATAACGCCCGCCATTTGATATAAATAAATAAATGTTGTATTGCTGTGAGCCACTCATTACAGCTACAGAGGCGACTCTCAAACCACTCGAGAAGGCACACAACCAAGCATTACGACTAATTACTGGAGGGATAAAATCAACACCCATTGATGCAATGCTCCTAGTTACAGGAAGCACCACAATATGTTCTCATATCAAAGAAAAGGCCTTGCTCCTGTTTGAGAAGCTACTGCGCATTCCCATGGACAAGTTCTTCAGCACCTATGAGAATAGACCAAGACATCTGAAAATCCAATCTGGTCTAATACAGAAAGCCTTAGAACTGAAGAAAGAATTAAAAATTGATGACAAAACCATAGGCCTCTTTCTCATGAAACCATTAGCAGACATTGATGTAGTGTGTTGCACCCAACTGCCTGATTACTTCAGGAAATCAAACACTCCTCCAGAGCAAATGTGCTCACTGGCCCTCGAAACAATCAATGTCAACTATCCTGCAGATCAATGGTTCCAAGTCTTCACTGATGGGTCATACATAGAAAACCAAGCAAACATTCGTGCAGTTGTCTTTTCTGAACTCTTCTCTTTCTACACAGCAGCGAGACACAATACATCCGATTTTGAAGGAGAAATAGAGGCCATTAGGATAGCACTTTGCTAATTATGTTGCCTGGATACGAAATTCATCAACGTGGTGATACTTTTCTGACTTACAGTCAGCAATGAACTCAATTGAAAACAGAGAGTCTCCCAAAACAGGTGAGATAAAGGAAAGTAGAAAACTCTATCAGCTGCTGAGAGTGAAAAACAAAACAGTGGTCCTACAATTGATTCCTGGTCATTGTGGCATTAAAGGCAATGAGCTTGCTGACACACTTGCTAAGAAGGAGACAACGATTTTGAAATGCATGGACCGGGGATGTCTTTCCCCACAATGAATGCCATAATCAGAAGAGAATTCAAGACCTCAAGGTGCAACGAACTCAAACCTTGAACAAAGGAGAAACAGTGGACAGTGGCACTCTCTGGCATAGCCGACTGGCCAAGAATCGAAGCCGTTGCTGAGTTTAGACTACACTCAATCCTCATGCCCTCTATGTAATCTACAGGAGGAAATGGAGAAGACCCACCTGATTCGGTGTCCAGCCCTAAAGACAACGACGGAAAGCCAGAGATACTGGGAAACAAGAAGACAGCTAATGAATTGCTATTAATTAACTGCTATAAATGTACCCCCACCCATGGGGGAAGCTGAAGTCAAAGTTTAAGTGCTAATGATAAATATCATGAAGCCTGCTATTTGAAATAAATAAATAAATAATATTATCCATTAATATTAGTTAAAATGGTTCCGTTATTAGAGTGCATAAGGTAAACGTACCTTTAGAGAAGTGAATGCTCATGTGGTAGTAAAGAGCGTATGTCAAGATCATATTGGCAAGTGACTTGTCTAATTAGTTTAGTGGGACCGATTACAGAAAGGATATTTATACTCATATCAGAAGTGCCTTTTATATTTCTTTCCATCAATTGCTCCACTTTTTTCATCCAAACTTTCTAACTAACTGAGTAACGTGCTTGCTTACTTTATTAATTAAAGTAGATTGTGATGAAGATTTCTCACAAAACAGTCAATATGCAACATGGCGAGGAAAAAATCAAATTTGTGTGTTCAAAGCCTTCGTATGTATCGCATATAATCATGATATAAGAGCGACATTTAGGTAAGAGGACGTCGGCCATTTTAGTGCTTATACTAATGGTTCGCTTTCGTTCCAAGTAATAAATTTGTGAAACACACAACCCCAGTAAGGAAGAACGTCTTGGTTATTTAGTGTCAACAATTATATTGACGCAAACAATTGCATTGCTTCGTCTCGAATTACTTAAATCAAGCAATTAAGCAATTATGTACGACAGTAATTCATGTCAAAAAGCTAATTTAACCACCTTCCAGAGCCTTGATTGCATTTAGTTTGCAGTCCTTCCTCTCAACTACCCCACCCCATGCCACCACGCCATGCCACCTCTATCTTTATTTCATGGTTCCTGCTGTTTCTCCATCAAGCTAACCTTCATAGAGCATTGAGAAGACACGCTTTGATGCAGAACATGAATAGAGATAGTTCAAATTCATTCCACAATGATGTTAATCAACAGAATGCACTTTACGATCACTTGTCTGTATAAAGTCAAGTCATTTGCAAAATGAAAATTCAAGCTCATTAGCATCGAGTAACAGTTATATTTGCAATAGTTTCAAATGTCACAGCTCTTAGGCATTTCGTGAAACAATAACACTGTCATTGCTTATCCATGTGAATGGCGTTGTTAGTAAAAATGTACCGCCTCTCTAGTGACGGGAAAAGTACTATTGATCTTTTGGTGATTTTTTAAGCCCTTGAGTGCAATACAAAACTTTTTTCCAGCAAGATCAATGGCTTTGGGACTCGAGGTAAGGATGTAGGCGTTATCCATCAATCTAGAATACATGCACAGCCATCAATTACATTTTATGCGCTCAATATAAAGCATAATATTTATTTCTCATTCTGAGTGAAAGGAGAACGTAAGAATTACCATGATTTATGGTCCACATAGTAAGTGAAATAAACATGTATTAAACTTTGATCTTAAAACATAAGGAAACTACCAATAAGCGCTTGCATTCTGGCTACACAATGAATATTCTCCATCATGGAAGTTGATTAAAAATTGGGATACATTCAAACCTGTTGATGTATATTTCAAAACTCGAAAATACAATGCCCCCAATTTGACTTGTTCAATGGGCGTTATTGATTCACCATTATTTTATCAAGAATTGAGCAATTCTTTCCTCAACTTTTAAATCTACCTTCACTTCACTTCAGCTCAAGCAGACTACTATCAACTCTCCATTGAACCAGGACCAAGCCGGCATGCTTACATCGGTGGACAGTGAATTCCAAATGAGGAGGGTTTTTCCACGGTAGTGGCAGAGGCAATAAAACAACTTTGAAACACTTGAGTCATACAAAATGTTGTGTCCCTGAAAAAAGGTTGACGCCAGACTAACAGCAGAAGGACTCCAGAAAGGAAAGCATTAATTTTTGCCTGTCAGAATCATTTCCATTCGACACCAATTTTTCTTCTATAAAATCTGGACTTAGACAGCGTAAATAAGAGTTGATAAAATGATCACGTTTGGATAAACGTGAATTGCCTTCGTTTCATTGTCGGCCAAATGAATATCTGGTCAATCGTGTGATATTGATGGATCCTGTTTTCAATGTTCAATTAAAATCAATCTTAAAATATAATTTCTATTTTATACTTGACATTAAAGATATCCATAACTATATTCACTCATTATTTACTTAATGTTAGGTGTATTTGAGACACATTTTCTAAAGGACTCTTCGCGCAATAAATTTTCAAAGGATTGCCATATTACATTGTACAGATGGTAACACGAGACCTATAGCTAAGAGCTCTCTTTAATTTACCTTACTTTGAATTACTATATTTTTCCATTTCAACGATTTATAATGATTCGCTCAAAATCAAGTAAATGACAACTGATAACTATCATCAAGTCAACTATCTGCCGTGAATAATAAATAAATAAACATTATGTCTAGTTATTCCATCTCTTATAAATTTTAGCTTGTCATAAAAGGTTAAAAACCATGTTCTTTCGGTTCTCGTCTACGAAATTCAATTTGAATCAGTGTCAAAATTTGTCTTATACCTGCCTCAACTATCATAGACGTACAAATACATCATTGAATTGTGGGGTTTTAGCCACACCCGAAGTGTATTCTATGGCCCAAAATTTTTTGGCTGTTCAAAAATATTCAAAGTTAAATGCCTTCGAATAATTCAGTTATATTCAGCATGGCGTTACCAA